TGGGACTCTATCCTCAGGCTTCAGGAGTAGTCTTTTCCTTTTCAACATATGCCAAGGAAAATGCACAAAAAGTTCGCAGTTGTCTTCCTTTTGTTCAAGTGATACCACCTGATAAAGGGGTAAATTTTATTTTCTGTGGTGCTTCAGAGTTTAAGAAGAAAGCAATATGGTATATGTACATCTGATCAGAATTAGTCTCCCATATTTGGCCAAAAACATGTTCTGGCACTTGCCTATTCTTTGTTTGAGTCCTATGCACGTTCTCTGTTGAATATTTGTGTTAAATATTTTTAAAAATAGAGTATATACAAATGAAGAATTAATGAGTTCAGGTACCACATCGAATACCTATCGAATTGTAATAGAATTATTTTTTTTTCCTCACATTCATGCCAAGAAACATCAAAGCAACAGATCAGTGATTTTGAAGGTGGACATTCATCGGTGCATCAGGTATGGGCAGCACGTTACATCTGCTTTTAGGGAATGCTCCCAGGCCAGGTTGGATGAGGCTTTGAGCAATCTATTCTGTTGGAAGGTTTCTCTGGCCGTCTCAGAGGGGTTGGAACTAGGTGATCTTTAAGGTCCCTTCCAACCCAAACCATTCTATGATTCCATGACAGCCTCTTTGGGAAAATGTATCTGTGTAGTCAAAAGCTAAGAAATTAATCATAAGCAGGTGGTCCTGTACAATGATACCAGCCATGGATTTTGGCTGAATTCTACTCTTCCATTTATTTAAAGAGGGAGAGAGCAGTTGGATATAGGCTTTTAACCATCAAGTGTCTTTTTAGTTGCGCATTATGTGGGTCAACCTTTTTTAATTATTATTTTTAAAATCTGTGTAGTCTAGAATAGCTTCTTTTGGCTCCTTATTTTTTAAGGAGAAAATATTCAGCATTTGAAGAGTGATATGGACCATCTCGCTGGGCACTCGTAATTATTTGTTCTCTATAGATAGTAGTTAAAATTGTCTCATTTTATTGATGCCATTTCAACCCACTATAAATTAATTTTATGATTGCACTGGACAGAATAGATTTAGACTTTTTTTAAAAAGAAATTCTGAGGAACACGATATCAGATGTAGATGGTAAGTATTTATGCATTTTATTTTATACCACTATCAAGACTTCTACAAAATAGAGCAAGAAAACTATTTGAAATATTATGTATAGATTGTTTGAAGTAAACAATTAAGCATTGTTCAAAGTAGGCAGTTAAGAAACTTTCCATATCCATTGGAGCACAGAAAAAATCCCCAGTACATGCTAATTTGGTGATTAGAATTCATCTCTCAACTGCTTTTTGTGCTTGTTGGATAATAGCTACTTCTTACATTGTTTGTCTTAATAAAGAAGAGCTGTGAAGAAAACAGTTTTCCCCCCTGGCTACTGAGATAGGAGTCAAGGTAAATTTGTGTACAGATTTGTGGATAAAGATGGTGTCATTTGGACGAAGTTTGTGCAATATGACTGCATTTGTTTCGCCACCACCACCCCCCAAAAACAATTGAGCAAGCAGTGAAAGCAGAAAATTCTAGAGGTTAGTTAATATAGCTTACACTACCATGTATTAAAATTCCTTTCATTGTGCTTTTAAGGAATCTCCTGAGAACACTCAAATGGATACATCAGATATAGGTGGGTTTTTTAATTTACTATTTAGCTATCTTTTTCTTAACTTTTTGAAAAATATTGCAAATAACTTTTTCATCATTTTCTAATATAGTAAAAATGATTTTAATACATGTTCTGTACCCTTTCAGCAAATAGTGAATAGGAATAGCAAGAACCTGTGAAATCAATATACACGTTCCTCTGAAATTTCAGTTTTGAATCCCTGATATGCTGGAAAACCAATGTGGAATATGTTCAACTGCCTTTCCTTAATAAAGGAACAGTGAAACAGGAACCTCAGCGCAGGTGGCAATAGAAGTTTTATTAATAATTGCGATTATACGTTAAATGCTAGTGATGGGATAAACACAAGTTTGCATTCAGTTGCAAAAATTCTTCATTAGTGTTTGTTGTGGTTTCAGCATCAGTCTTGTGGCCTGTCTGCAAAGTTTTGGGAGGTTTTGACCTTGTATTCCCAAATAATTGTTTGTATTAATTAGTGGCAACAGACTTTGACTCTTTTTTAAACATTTAAAACTTGTATTACTCAACATCTTTTGATTCTTGTGCATATAAAAACTTACTATTTTTCATAAATTAAACTATGGCCAAGTAGTAACCAGCAATTAATGGCTGAAAGAGCAGTTGCTGGTGTTTAAATACTGTGGTATTCAATTAAGTACTTCATATAAATATATATCTGTCTCTAAGGCAGACAATTACTTCTATATTGAGGGTAAATAGGAAATAGCAATCTGAAATGTTTCCTCCTATCATTTGAGAGGATAATTTCAAGTATCTATTTGAATGATAAAATAATTTCTGCAAATTTAGAGAACATGACTTTGTGTTTTCTCAACCTGCTCCATGAAACTCAGGAAAGAAATTTCGGAGGCATCTGTAGCTTAGCTTCTCTAAGTGAACTTTGTCTTTTGCACTCGTGGGATAAATGAGTGATGTGGTTCAGACTCTGGTATCTTCATAGCAGTGTACAATAATATTATTATCCACTCCTCCTCCTTCTCTTGTGAATGTTCTAGGAAGAGACTGGCGAGGATTTTTAGAAACCTCGGTGAGTCCCAGCTATCTCCAAATACAGTAAGATGTAGAAATTAGATTCTCTAGAGATATAGGATTGGATTCTTCACATAAAAATGGAATTCCCCCTGGTGTTTGGGCATTTTTTGGGGTTTTTGGTGGTTTTTTTCGGTGTTTTTTGTTTGGTGGTTGTGGGTTTTTTAATATCTAAAAGATTAGCAATAGGGCATGTTAACTTAAGGGGGAAAGCGTATCTTTAGCTGTTCTAGCTAAAATTTTAGGTTTTGGCAGGTTTTTTTCCATTTTTAGTATTCATACAGAATGCTTCACACTTCTCGGTGAAGGCAGACTTTTTTTCTTGGTATTATCCAGTATTTTTGTTCTGAGAGTATGCAAAGCCTATCAACAACAAGTAAAAATATAGTGAAACAGCTCTCACATGTACCTGCAAGTATTATTCTGTCCTTAATAGGGAAAATTAAGGCTACCTTCTTTGCTTTCACAGGAAGTAGCATGGCAGAATATAGTGATTTCTATTTCTGAGCAATATCTTGTATCTATTAGGATATTATCACAGAAAAATGAATTTATTTGGAGAAAGGGGTAAATAAGTTACAACTTTTAGGTAATGATAGTGTTTGAGTGCATCTCTAGAGAAACAGCTTTCTGAATTATAGGTGAAATTTTCGAGATAGAAGAGTAGGAGTTTTCACTTTTCCTCTCTGTTCTGCATTTGAGGTGCAAAGGTGTTCCCATATTTCCCCTTTGACCTTTTAAAAACACTTCCAGATTTTCTGGAGAAGATATTTTGGGGTTTTTTTCCGTTCTGTTCTGTGCCATGGCCCTCTGCTAATAAATGATGTTCCAGTGATTTGAAGTATGATTGACAGTACATTGAAGACATAGTAAAATTACCCTTTTCTGAGGATTCATACTTAGAAGAATATTCAACTTGCATACTGATCAATTCACCCTAATACAAACTTGTTTTCTAATAATTTGTCGTTGGTGATGGAGTTGGTGGAGTTGACCATTGGCACAGCAGCTGTTCCCTTTATCTCAGGAACCTCCCATTTTTGTAGTGGTCTAGTCTGGTTGTCTTGGTGAACATTTAGGAAGCAATCTGACAGTTTTGTACCCAATTCTACTGGAGGAAGAAGACTGAATGGCAGGAAGAGTAAAAGCTGTTACAACAGAAATTGGAGGCTGAAACTTCTCCCAATTAAAACATAAACATTCTTATTTCTTCCTCCACTACTGGCACTTAGTAACTGATTTCCTGAGAATAAAATGATCACAAATTTGTCTTCCATTGGTCATGTGGGAAGAAACTGATAATCTGGTATGGGTTTCGGTTCTAGTAATTCTTCTAGGGTCAGGTACCCTATTAAAACCAACCCTCTGGTTGCTCAACATCTTCACCAGAAGATGTGAAATCGTGTTATCTCCCACAAAGACAGCATTTCTTTTGTACATATCTTTATCATAGCTCTATAGCACAGAGGTGATGATTGCATTGTCAGGGAACTGAAAGGGAAGATGGGATGAGCTGGAAAAGATTTTCATTCTGGTTTTAGCAGTTTGGGGATAGTGTGATGAGGCAGTGATGTGGTAGGTATCATAAGCAGGATTTTTTTCACTCACTCTTTTCCTTTTCAGGGTTATTCTCCTCTCCTTTTTCCCTCTCTGTGTTGAACACAGGGAGATTCAGAAATCAGGGCTTACAATGCAGTCACGTGTTTTATTATCATGGAAGATAGTGACTTTAGCTAATGATGAATTGGAAGGTCTGGCTATATCTAGCAAAAAAATATTTTGTTGCATTTCATTCACAAAAATACCCATAGACTACCTAAAAATTGAGTTTAAATATTGTGACTTGCTTTTTCATATTCTCAGGTCTGTCTTGTTTGTAATTTTGTCAGTTCTAAGGTGGTCTTGACAAAGAGAAACTAGTAAAATGAAGTGTGGTAGAAGGTCCTTGCTATCTTTGTTGGGATATTTAGAAATATAGTAGGAATTATGCATTAATGAATAGTGAATCTTGAAGACCAAGAAAATAAAGAGCTTTGAAAATGTTTTACTCTCTGAAACAATTAACATAAATCTTGAAGAACTGGAAAGAAACAAGTTATCTTCACTCTTCTTTGTTCCCCTCAAGACATTTATGAACCCATAAACCATGCTTTTCAATTGGACTTGAAATGGAAATGTAATAGAGCTTTAGTGTAGAAAATCATTTTCTAAAATGAAACTAGTGTAGTCAATAACTTGTATGTGTTTAAAAACTTTCTCTTTTGGTTTTGAGTGCAACTATATTTAATATTTATCTTCAAACTGTAGATGAAGCGAGTGATGTCGAAATAGTTTCAGTAAGAAGAAAATTTGAAGACGTTCACCTCCAGGTAAAAATTACTGGTGTCTAATGTAATGGAATAATTTTGTGTTCAATAGAAATTATTAATTATTTGAATAGTTTACACGTGCCTGATGAGTTGATGTAGTCAGCAGAAGACTCTATATAGTCTGCACCTTAATACACATTTTTAGTAAGTATAGCAAATGAGAGCTTTGATGAATAATGTCATAAAGACCAGTATGAAGTAATATTATTGTCTTAGTAACATTGGTATGCTAGAGAAAACTATACATTTTATTGTAACAGACAACCCTGAGAAAGTCTATTATAGGTAAGGAAAAAGAGTAATCGGATGAAGCGTAAAGTGAAAACACTTATAAAAAATATGGTCATTCACCTGAGAGTCTAAAAAAAGTAGGTGGTAACATGATTTAAAACAAAAAGTAAATCTGAAATAATGGATGATTCAACAAAAGCAGACTGGAATCTTCTGCTGTTGCTTCCCAAACTAGACTATGGGTATCAAGACTACCCAGTATTTATATTGATGAAGAAAAGTGTAACACAGGCTTTGCGTGTGCAGCCATTCTAATCCTGTGTTCTGCTTGCTCAAATACCATTACTAAAAATGGAATTTATTTTCCTTACTTGTTTAGCATAGTGCTAGTGTCATGTCTCTGACAACAGCTAACACACACTGCTTCAGAAAGCGAGAGTTTCATTAATGAATTGCCATTTCTCATTAAATATTCTCAGATTTTACAAAGAGGTGAGTTACAGAGTAGCCCTTAATTTGCATATGAATTCTTATGGGATCTTAAAAATACATGTAAAGACTTGTAACCGTCATTGCCAATGCTTTCTAATTTTTTTCTCTCTTTTTTTGTTTTATATGGGTGTTTTGTTTGTCTGTTTCTATCTGTGGATTTTCAGAGCCTGTGCGTGCTTTTGCTTCTTGGGATTTTTCTTTTTTTTTACATTAAAGGTATACCTTAAAAATATGTTTATGCTTGTTGGATATCCTCATCTGAATAACAGTAGTTTGCAGCAAATCCGTGTAATACATCTGGGTTTGTCAGTGCCTATAATTTCTATGTGTCTTAATTATTTTTTTTTTATTTTCCTCTAAGAATCTCAATGTAGATGATGGAAAAATTCAAGAGAAAGTCAAAGTTCCAGTGGATGTGATAGTACAAGATGATGCTAGAAAAATTCCCCAATGGATTGAGGTAACATATTTCTCCTATTCTAAGTAATGTTGCCTAAAAATCGGGAGCAAAAAAACTCACTAGGCTAATTTAGTAGAGATAAGAGAGCAGGTCTTTAATGAAGGCCTTCTGGCACAAGGAGTACAAAAGGCCCACGTGTCCAGGGGTTACACAATTAATGGTCTGATCCAAGAACCACCCACCCCCCCGATCTACCCCCCAGGCACTCCTCCCTGGAAATTGAGTTGGAGGTGAAACAGGAGGCCAGGCCCAAAAGAATTAACTAAGAAATTTGGGCCTGCTAACAAGCTACTAACATCCAAAATGATCTGCGCTTGTTCTGTTCTACTTACTGAACCAAAACTCAAGGGAATGGTAAAAGAACATGTAATAGGCCTAGAGGTAATAAATTAAGATGCAGTAGGATAAGGTAGACATTTGAATAGAAGAAACAAACCATGAGCCAAGGCTTTTTCCAAGCTTCAATGAGTGGGTCGAGAACAATGGAAAAGAAGAGAGGTCAAGCTGAGGAAGACGAGAACTAGCCCTCAGACTTGGAGGGGAAGAACGGAGCTCCCACCAAAATTGAGGGCCAAGAGAAGCACCACCTCAAGCCCCGCCTGAGCTCCACCTATACTCCTGTTATTAATATGTAAAGATAGCTGCTGTAATCACTTGAATATGCATTTAATCATATATGAAAATTGTATAAAAACTGCTGATTCTGTGTGAAGCCTTTGAGCAAGTTTTTCCAGCAATAGCTGGCTTGCTCCCAGCGCTGTCAATAAATACCTTTGCTGCTCAAAGATCAAAAAGGACTCTGGGCAGTTTACTATACCAGATTTTTCAGATTCAGAGGTCCTAAGACCCCCTTTCTTCCTCATCTTCCTCTTTCTCATGGCACGTACTGTCTTTGGAGCTTCTCCAAGGTTCCAGGCTTGAAGGTGGCTTTGACTGTGATGGTCTCTTGTTGTTCAGGCCTGGGGAGCATATGTTCTTAAACAGAATATGTTTATTATAGTCCTGCCTTGAAAGGAGCCTAAACAAGCCTAAAGAATTTAGAAAACTATATGAAATGGGGGAATAGGGTTTGGGAAGTGTTAACTATTATACTGAAGTGTGAGAGATTACTCAGCTACATTAAAATCTACGAAAAGCTATAAATCCTAAAAATTCAAAGGCATCCATCAGTTATTAGATAAATAGCAGTTTGCAACAAATCTCTGTAATATGTCTGGGTTTGTCAGTGCCTATAATTTCTATGTGGTTTAATTTTTTTTTGTTTTCCTCTAAGATTCCGAATGTAGATGACGAAAGAATTCAAGAGAAAGTCAAAGTTCCAGTGGATGTGATAGTACAAGATGATGCTAGAAAAATTCCAAGATGGATTGAGGTAACATATTTCTCCTATTCTGCTACAAGTTATCAGCTAATTAGAATAAAATAAGAACTCTGTAACTGGGTAGCACAATGAATTCTAACAGAACTTCTCTACGGTTTCATCATCGTTCCTCTCCTGCCTGCTATCTGTGTAAATATTTTAATGTCTCAGGTTTCTGACAGTAATGATTTGTAAGAGACAGAACAAACAATTTACAAATTTATTTTTATTTTTTTTACTTTTATACTTTGTTCTTTGAACCCTGATATGCAAGTCAATTTTTCAATAGGTAAGTTTTTTGAAAAGTCCAAATTTGAGCTTTGTAGTGAAAAAAAGTTTTAGCTTTGTTTGGGTTTTAGGGGTGAGGGGGACTGGAGGTGAAGTGTTATGTTACATGGTACAGCTTCTGTTTTCTGCTGGAGTTGCCAGAGATGTTTAGATATATAGATTATCCAGATGTGTGTGTGTATATATATATATATCTCCATGTATGAATTTTCATATTTGGGAAAGGGATTAATATATGATACATAATATATAAGTTGCAAAAAAATTGTAAATAGCTTTCCAAGATTAAACTTGTAAGTCTTAACAATTCTTACTGAAGTCTTAGACTAGATATTTTCCACTTTTCCTGAATTTAGCTAAGCCCCTTGGGACCACAAATATACAGGACCTACTGTAGCAAGGAGAGATGAGACGGAGTCACAAGCAGGGTTTCGATGTTACCTTTAACATGCAAAACATTCAGAATATGAGATTGTGTCTTTTCCTTTGTTTGTTTTTCAGGTAGCACCTCAATGTTTGCCGAAAGGTTTTCATGTAACTTCGTCTGTGCAAGAACTGATTGGTACAAATAAATCTTTTGTCTGTTGGCCAAATATATTAGTTACAAAATGTGGTTTTATTAAAATTTATTAGAAAAAATATTTTTAGTTTCTTGTAAACAAAGAAGCGTTATTTATCCAACAGAAAAATCAAATAGGTTGGATTTTGAAGGGAAGTTAGATGTGATTTTGCTTGGGGCAAAATATATGAAAAATCAGAAAATAAATAATTTGTATACATAAATCCGGCTTTTCTTAAATAGCCTCAGGAAAAAAAATGCACAGTTACAATATTCAGCAGCATTTAGCTCTTTGAAATGAAAGCATGATTTTTTAGTTCTCCTTATTTTAAATTCAAGGAATGTAATAGAATGGCTTTGAGTCTGCTGGTAACTGATACTTAAAGTGGTACTTTGCTAGTAAACTTGCTTCAAAAGCTTTACAGACTTGATGCTAACCTAAGGTACAGTTTTGGTGTAAATATTTCAACTAACAACTACAAAAAGCATTACTTTCATCATGGTTTATGGCAAGTAAAGCTGCAATGGTACTAGCCAAGTATAAAGCTATCAAGTAACATGGAAATAGAGGAACAAAACCTGTTTCTGACTAGGCTGTTTCTCCTAGTCAGAAATCACAGAGGGCAAAGAGAAGTCTTCCTCTACAATTAAATTATTTTTATCTCTATATTATGCTACTTTAAAATACTGGTTCCTTTTCCAACACATTAAATTTCTATCCTCTGTAGTTTGTGAATTGTATATGGTTAGGAAAAGTATTAGTTTTTTTCCTAATGGTTTGTATGTTAGTTATCCATTTAGCCTGGCAGTAAAGCCTAATGAAATATATTACAGTAAGACTACCTGTATCATCTGCCACTGTTTCTAAGTCATACAATGCATTACTGGAAGTGCCCTAATAGATGTGGAATCTTTTCCTTCTTCTGGTTTTGTTTCTTGACTTATTTGGCTTTGTTTTTTCAGTAGACAATCAAGCTACTGTTTGCAGAAAGAAACTAGAGTTGTCAAATGAATGTTCTTCATCCAGATTTCTACAGTTACAATATTCTGGTATTCCCATTCCATCAAATACAAAAACCATACCCACACACCAACCTTCTGCAGAACTGAACACAACTTACTGTGACAGTGTCTTTGAAGAATGCCAGTCAGTGTGCGGGGGGTGCTCCTTGAGCAATACAACTCTTGCAGACTTGTATCCAGTGATGTTAGAGACATTTACAAGGCTCATGACAAAGCACTCTCAGAGAAAAGTATTAAAATACTTGCTTGGGCACTTAAGGTCCAAAAGATGTCATTCTAGAAGACCAAAGATCAATATCACTGTGGACAAAATAAGAGGGTTCAGACCTTTTAAACTAAAGAAAGGACTACACAGCATATGCAGCAGTAGAAGTGAAGACAATCAGAATCCAGCCTTTGGAAATGAGAGCAGAGAATTTTGTTATGATGATTGTCTCATTAATAATTCATCTGCTCTGGTACCTTATACTGATACAAATGAATTCAAAATGGACTACTCTGACTCAAGTTTAGAGCATCATCTGGTATCTGGAAAAGGCCAAAAAGTCTCCATACAGACTGTTTTTCCTAATGTTATGGCTAGAATGGGAGAGACCTTTGTAGCTGAAGATGAGTTGCAGACTACTGCCTCATTGAAGAGTTCAGAATACAAAGAAAGTGAAAAATTGGCTTACAGATGTTCCTCAGAACACAATTTTGTAACACCTGTTGCCAGTTCAGAGTCAACAGTGCTTCATCTTGTAAAGGAGAGCAAGACTCAGAAAACTGACTTTTCTTGTGGTACCTCAGACTCATGTTCATCTGCTTGCAGTTCCTATGGCAGTAATAACACTTCTGCACCTGTCACAAACTATTCTTCTGCGAGAGCATCAAATGCTTTGCTCATAAATCCTGAAAAAATAATTTCTGAAGGACAAATTTCTTTCCAGCACAAACACTCATTTTCCTCATCATTTATGAAGCAGAGTCCTTCAAAGATGCCCCAGAAATATGAAGATGCATTTGAAAAACTCTACTACAAAGTGTGTTCAGAAGAAATCCAAAAGCCTTTGGTATTGAGAAGACCTACTTCAAATTCACAGAAACTTGAAGAGAAAGGAAGATTAATGAAAAGTAATCTAAGTGTTTTTGTGAAGCCCAGAACACAGTATGATAGAGAATTTGACAGGATCTATGAGCAATTGTGTAGTGAGCCTGTTCCAAAACTTCCTGGGTTGCAGAGAGCTTCAAATTTAAGGAAATATGAAGGAATAAAAATGTCTGAAACTGTAAATGCTCTTGTTAACTCACCTGTTCGCACTTTATCTGCAATTCCCAGAGTTAAAAGATTAGGAAATTTTCAAAATGATCTTCCTTGTTCACCAGTAAAGCGACTGAAACATATACCAGAACATTATTTTTCTTCAACAAAATGTCAAGAGATTTCTCACAGAAAAAAGCTTAATCTTCAGACAGTCGACATGGATTTTTTGAGCACATATAATGGCAACAACCCCAGCTTTTTTGAAGATCACAGCTGTCGGAGTCAGGTACTTAAAGACCTTGTAACAACAACGACATAAAAAAAGATTGTGCACTCAGAGATATTTGGAAAAGGGCTTAAAAATGGATTAGAGCTGCTTGAACTACTGATAGCATACTTCTGGTGCTGTTTGGTCAGTAGGGATATTTTATGGCTTTGGGGATATTTGTTTGCTGAAGTGTAAGTTGTATCAGGTCTCCTGGATTGTGTAAGGAAACTCAGTATATTAAATAACCTTGAAAATGATTATAAAACGCTCAGTGAAAGAATTAGTTACATTTTAATAGACAATGTCACTGGTTAAAATAATCTCAAATAATGACCCTGTTAATTTAGGTGTTGTCCTTCTGAAATGATGACATTTTAATGATTTTATAGATGGACAAGATGAGACACAAATTAGGCTTTACTGGGTTTCACTGGAATCATTAGACTTGTTGATTTAAATATTAAATCAGACCCTTATTTCTAGGTTCACAGTAATTTCTTCTGGGGCAAGCTGTGAAATAATATGAGTTTTTTTCATCAATGTTATCTGTTGATGCTTTATTTTCAGCACTCTGGATTTCGTGATTCTTCAGATAAAACTTCTCTTGATATTCCTGGTACTTGCCTGCAAGGTTAGTTTAAGAGGCTTTGAGTTTACTACTTAGCAATCACAAGCACTTCCTCAAATGGTAAATCTACAGAGCTCAATACACAACTGTCTAGGTGACAACTCTTCTTCCTTAGTAATAATTGGATGTGCTTCTTTCTTTTCCTACCAAAGTGTTTCTTATTATCCACTAGTTTTCTCTCTTCCTGTTTTGTATTTTATTTAAAGTTCACTGTTACTTTCTGTATCTATATGTTCAGCAGGAAATGAGTAGTTCGTTAATCCTACACTTGAATAACTAAATGCTTTTGTTTTTACAAAAACTTGGAATTGAGTTGTTGCATTGCTACTATCATGCTTTCTTAGATCAATTACATTATTAATCTGGATAAAGACTTTTGCTAAATCAGGACAGTAGAATTTCATTATTAAAAAAAAAAAAACAAAAAAAAAAACGAAAAACCAGAAAACCTACATCAGTGTAAAATTTTAAATGCTAATGTTTTGGTTTCCGTTTCAAAAACTGATTTTGGTTACTGTATGTATATAACATAATCTTAACTTTTGTACTGCAAAGTAAAATCACCAATATTTATTTTCCATACTTTTTTTTATTAACCTTGTCATCAAGATAAAAACTAACACGTAAAGGAATATACAGAAGGTGACTTGAAATATTGTCAACTGGCACACAAGTAGAAAATGGCAGATGAAATGTACTTGTTTGCATGGTTCTTGCTTGGTTAAATTTTCATTAGTGATTAATTGTACAGAATTTGATTATTTGAGCTTAACTTATCCCATCTGTCTTATTTTGCTTTCCTTAAATATTAACTCATACTTTATGTATTAAATTTTTTTTATATCAACAGTTCCTTATACATTTTTCAATTGATGACAAATTATAAGCATTTTCCAGAAACCTAACTTATACTTAAATATATTCAGTCTTTAAAAATGTATTTGAAATTGTTTTGCCAGGAGCTTTTCCATGAGACTACTTTCATAGGGAAATTTGCTCACTGAAGTATGCCAGTGAAGTATTTCCAGTGTTTGATTAGACTAATATTTTAACAACATACTGTAGTGTTCATGCTACTCAGCATTGTTCTTGCTCTTTTCATACCACTGTTTTTCATCATCAGAAGTCGGGGTTGCATATCCCCGCTCTGGTTGGCCCAGGACAATGGCGATTTGCAGCTCTCCCAGAAACGTGCAGATGTGTCACCAAAGGTAAGAGCTTCATGAAAAAAGAGATATTTCAAAATTGATTCTTGCTGCTCTGCTTCTATATGAAAGGTATGGAGGTTTCATGCATGCTTCTAGAATGAAAATCAATATGGGAGAGCCCAAGCTAAGCTGCAGACTTGGACACTAAAGGGCAGATGTCTGTGGACAAAACTAGCCAGACTCCAGAGTGGATAGCCAGCCTAACTTAGTCCTTACTGTAGTCCTTATTTTGTGTTCATTATGGAGGCATTTATTATTTTAGATACACTAGAGAATTGTTTTGATTGTGGCTGTGTGTTTGAGCTAACAAGTCCTCTCAGATCCATAGACTGTGGAGAGTGCAGTATGTTGCCATTTAAAAGGACTTTCAAAGGTTAGCCCCTGTGCAGTTGGGCGTCATTACCTGCATTTTGGCTCTGTGTACAAGCAGTGGCTCTGCTTGGAAGATATCAGAGATCCTCTCCTCCTGCTGATATCACTACTGGCAGTGTGTTTAGATCTCTGGAAGGAGGACACTTCACGGAATACTGGCCTACTACATCTGTTTTTCTTACAAAATATGTAACTTTTAAATAATTATCAAGCTTCAGATCTCTTGGATTTTTAATTGCAAACACTTAGTAGTCAACAAGATTTTTAAAAAAGCATTAAAAGCTCTCTATTAAAAGCTCGCTAAACAGTTTTTTATTTTATTTTCCAAAACATTTTTTACGTGCTTTTTTGCCACAAAATCTAATTTGTAACCACAAAATATGCTGGCTTCTCAACCTCAGTCAAGAAATATTTTCACCGTGCTTGAGAAGATCATACAGTTGATATCAAAATTTACTCACAATGTTTGAATTGAAACTTCAAAGGAAGCTGAAAGTTTTTAAACTTCTCGAATGGAGAACTTAACCAGAAAAGAGGCTTCCAGATTTAAAGAAAAAAGTTTCAGTTTATGCAAAGATGGAACTAAAACTTAGAGGCTTGTATTAAAAATGGATACCTTATTGATAAAGATTATTTGGATTATTTTTTATATAATGGAAGATTGGAGACAAGCTGATGAGTATACATATATATATATATATATAGTTGAATATGTCCACTTAGCTGAGTAAAGTTCTGCTCAATTCTTGGGTTTCCTTCTGGTTTTCCTCATTACTTTTACCCATACAAAGCTCCATACAGCTCCATACAAAACAACCATCCCTATAACATTAACGATTGTTCTAAAGGAAATGGTTTTTCTTTCCTTAATGCATGTAAGTAGAGAAATCAGGATTCCACAGAGTGTTTTCTTGCCAGACCATCTGGAATCAAATCTATTTCTTTGTTCCTTAATTACACAAATACATGTTTGCTGATTTGTAGCCAAAACAGACTGTCAGCTGGCAAGTTTCCTTAGGCCTGTGGCGTGATGTTTTTAGCTTTTTATGTTTCCCAGCATTGAGGCTCTTCTTTAATGGCTTCAGATCCCTCAGAAATTTTATGCCAAAGCCATGTGGCAAAATGCTCTCTGTTGTAATGAATGGTTCTGAAAAGAAAAGGAATGTTGTCTTTCTGTCTGGAACTAGATTGCCTTTATCTAGATGATTATGAAAGAGATATTTCTGATAAAGAAATGTTCACAACTAATGAACTTTTCTTCAGTTCTGTGTGAATGCTGTCCTACAGCTGCATTGCTATACTTAATTCTCAGATGTAAACAAAATTAGTTTAAAATAGGTGACAGAGAAAAATTATGCAATTTCTTAAGTAATATGCGAGGAAATAATTGTTCTCACTTGCTATTTGTGAATACATTCAAAGATTGCATGTTGAAGTTTAGTAAGTATATATAACTTCGGTTGATGTAGTAGCATTACTGAGACTTTAAAATGACAGCATGAAAAGCTTTCTCTCTGAAAGCACATAGGATTTCAGACAAGGAGTCCTGCTGCTGTTCACAGTTAAGATGTTCAGCTATTTTGCTTTGGCAACTTGTTTCAGTTTCATTCTGTTCATTGGAATTTCAGCAAACATAGTATTTTTGTGTAATTTACTTTATCATCTAAATGGGTTATTGTTTTGGGTTTTTTTTCCATAGGGTATACAGAAAACTAAGCTACACTGATGGGAAAGACCAAAATCCCAGCCATACCTTGGACTTCCCCAGCAAAACTCATCAAGGAGCATTCATAGACTGCTAAATATAAAACATAGTTTTTATAAAGTTTGCGCTTTATCTGGCTTTCTTCTTCCACGAATCAAGTATGTTTGTAATACACAACTAGTTCTGATATATACTTCCTTGCAATATAATTCTTCAGGAACGGGTTTATCCCTTTTGACAGGGCATTTCTTACTCAATTTATGGCTAAGTTGGAATTGTGTATTTTAGTGCTTATAATAACAGAATGTTACCTATATTACCTTTTATCTGCTAATAAGCTTTGATTCTTAAAGTGTTAATAATAAGATAAGGAACAAGCTCATTCACCTAAATTCCTGCTTATTCATGCTTTCTCTATGTCTCAGTATACCCCTAAAATCAGTATTATATGCTATGATTTTTGTCTGTTATGCCATATTACTGTTAAAATTTTATAAGCAGCTCATCAAAGCTGATTGTTCAATGACATTTTATAAATTTTACTGGATTTGGTAAAGTTATGTTCTATGTTCTGACACAATTTATATTCTAAATAAAAAATTATTTTGAACAAATACCTGCTTTCAACATTTTTATTTCAGGTATGGGAATTCTCAGGAGTTTGTATACCTACAGCAAATACTTGAGAATGACATGTCAGGGTCCCACAGGGTTTCTTTGCTGTGGCCTTCCTTGACAAGGGAACTGTGTTAGTGGTGTCAGGTCAAGTACTCTCTTTTATCAGCATTGCCCCTTGTCAGCTTTCTGAGCTCCAGAAAAGAAAAAAATTGTTTTCCTTTGGCTTCATTTCTGGGCACACAGTAGTGTTTTGTGTTAGCTCTTAAAATCAAACTCCTATTATCTTAAGTACTGTTCTTGCATGGCACAAGAAGCCAGCTTCAGTGAGGTTTTCTCTGCAGTAAGAACTTCTGCAATGTGCATAAATGGTCTATATTCCCTCATAATTTGGATATTATGTTTTCTTCAACAACATCAACAAAAGATTTTCTTTTAGAAATGCTTTTGTGGCTCATTTTTCTTTCTATTCAGACATGGATGCACTGTAGGAAATATGCTTTATTCCCTACCTTCTCCTTGAATTAGTTGAGGTGATTGTTTCCCAGTATTTCTTCATACACCAGTACTGAGAGACTGGAGTTGGATTTTGGACATGTTCTGACTGTAGATAGGAATTCTACCCAGCAACTTTAATGAAGGCTCACCCAGTTAGAAAGGTAAGCTCGTTTATACAACATATACAGGGTATAAACCTACACCTAGCGCAACCTTTTCTTATTTTGTTGTAATTAGTTGAAACTTCCTTTATACATAAAGAATTTAACTAGTATATGATACTTTATGTCAGTCTTTCTCTGACGGATTGAAGATGGAGCAATATTGAACATGTTCTTTCATGTAAGAATTCAGTAGTCATTTGAAAAAGTATCCCAGAAGTCATTAAAAAAATTAGGTCATTCAGTTGCTTACTTAAGCAGATGAAGGTTAAAGAGCTGGAGAAATAAAGCTAAATCTGAATGTGACAACATTAAAAGTGCCTTGGAAACAGTTGATAAGCCACTAAAGATTATCCTGAAGTAGAGTGTCTGTAAGCAACAGTCAGTCATTTAATGGAAGCAGTGATTAAATGTGGAGAGGAAGGATATACTGAAGGAGAATATTTACAAGAATGCCCTGCTCTATTAACAAGGTACATTGCAAGAGAAAGCAGCTGATGAAAATTAGCATAAATGCAGAGCTGGACTAAAGAATTGAGACTGAGATAGAGGAAACTAGATTTACCTAAATCCCATGAGGTGGACTTACTGCTACATTTACACTCAACGAGAGAAGTGTGTACTTCATTTCTGTTAAACTGATGATCAGATTGAAATGGCAGGTTGAGTTTAGTTAATTAATGTAAGTTCTTTAACTTGTGAATTCAAGACATAATCAAGAGTTGCATCTCACTGATGCGTTAAAACTCTTTATGTGAATATTTTGCATATTATTGTTATTCAAACTATTTTGATGTGAGTCTAAGTAAGCATATGTTGAGATATGTATTATTACTTATTTAGTTCCTACTATGGAACAAAATATAACTCCTTCCAATCTAATCAAATTAAGTGAGTGTTTCATGCACTGATATTTAGCTTTAGATATTTGGCTTTGGATTTGTCTTCCTCCTTTCCCCCACAGGACCTTAGGGCCATCGTTTAATCTGCTTCTCCATTAAAGTGGTTTTTGTGGATTCTTCAACACTACTTGTTTCTGCCTATCCAGTGGTAGCTGGGCTAAGACTGTGATAACACAGTTACTTTCATTCCAAGTCTGCCTTTTTTCTGGGATGTAACAGCGAAACATACTGTGTTGATTTCAGCACACAAAAGGAAATGCTAGCACAAGATTGGCAATGACACTGGGGCAGCTTTGGCTGCAGGGCTTGGCCCCTTCCTTTTGGTTTTGCATAGGAGTTACAGCTTGTTATGTAGGACCCTTAACTATGAACAAAACTGAATGTTAACCAGGCTGTCAAAGAACTTATTTCTTTTATATTGATTTTGCTTTATACTGATTTTCTTCTTCATAAGTGTGGCTCATTGCTGGATGTGTCCATCCACTTCTGCTTTTAGAAGAGGTGTTGGGCTTCTATGGGCCTTTTGTTTGTTTTGTTTGTTTGTTTTCAGGACCTGAAACACTTGCAGAGTTCTGTATGTGCTTGAGAGTTGGAAGCTCCTTGACATGGTGCTCTGTGTGGATGTTAAAGGCACTAGTATCCTTTATTTTTGAGAAGACAGAACTGTCTGACACCTAGAGGTAGGCATATTACATCAACCTGCCTCACCGTTTTCTGATAAAACTACTTAATGACTCCTGGAATATAAAAAGAGATCCCCACTCTATAAAACTTACCATTTAATGAGTTTAAAGTCTTAAGATGAATGTGCACACAGTAAGTGAATTGTTTGGGGAAATGAGAAGCTCTTTTTGCTTTTGTAAAAGAGTAAGAATAGCAATGTAAAACCCAATAGGAATGTAAACATAACATAGAGTTTTAGAAGGAAGAAATCCTCACTAGGATATTTATTTTTACAGATAATTTGATAATATCTTTGTGGACTCTTGAATACAGTTTGATACAATATTGCATTTAGTAGAGGAGTTGAGATTTGAGACTAATTGTGGTATTGCTAAGGGAAACTGAAGGTATATAAAGATACTGTTAAATCTCATGAAATGTACAATTACTACTTTAAACAAACTGTTAAATTATTCTCCAATTATCTTTAGATAGATTGCATTATTACCATAAACCAGTCACAGCAGGAAAGTACACGATGTGGAACAGCAGATCAGTTTTTAACTGGTGAAACAACTAAATCACTAAGTGTGCAAGCATGAAAAAAATTTCCTTTCAGAAGTATTGATAAAACTATATAGAATCGTTGTACTCTGCTAAAGCTCTACAGACCATTAGTGGGTCTTTTGGGACTGTTTGAAAGCTGATGGTTGTTTAAAACATAGGATTAATTTTTACTGGGATCAATACCACGTGAATGCTGCAATACCAGATTCCACAACTCTTTCAAATTGTCCTCAGAAGGGCAGATCCTTCAAAGTGGCAGTCTGGACCTATACTTATTTCTTGCTTAGTCCTTAAATATGCTTGGAAGACACTTTGGAACACTTACCCATTTTAAATCATTGTTTGGTACGACAGTTTGGCAGTTTGACAATCTCTAGTCATTCACTGTTCCTCCAGAATGAAAAAGCACATCTCACTTTATGATTACATTTTTAGTTCAGGAAGCCACTTCAGATATTCTCTCCTTTTGCTTATGGATCAAGCCCATTAACCTTATGGGATCATCATGAATGGCTTCTACTTTTGCTGTGTTTTCAGCAGCCAGCTGCTCACTATTGAGGTAAATGCTTGCTTTGGAAGCCATCATGGTGGGGTTAGGTGATCTTTCTTCTTCATCTTCCTCTAATGAGGGATCTTTCTTTCTCCTTGGTTTTCTGCGTTTTCCCTTGACACTGTGATCAAGTGAGGCATAACACATTTGACTGGCAGACTCCACCTGAAAGGAAATTCACTTTAACATTCAGTAGTTATCCTTGCTTTAAAATTATATGTAAGACTATGAGTATGTCTACACTGTAATCATAATAGTGGCTGAAATATGCCCAAACTAGCTGTAAAACAAGCCATTAAAAGTACAAACAATTAAGACATGGGAGCCTAGAAAACACATCAACATAACCTAATGGTAAATGGCCCATAAGGAAAAATTCTTCAAGGTATCATAGGAAAGATTCTCGTTGGGAAGAAGGGTAGGTTATGAAATCAGTCCAAGTTCTTTGGGATGCAAGATATGATTAGATCTGTTTCTCTTCTCACTTTTGTTTAGTTAGAATCCAGTTGTTAGCAATATTATTCACAGGCTTTGCCTCTGCAGAATACCGAAGTTGGATGATTCTCATCCATATAGATGATCTCATTTCCAGTGCAAAATGTATGTCTTTTGTATCTTTTCCCTGCTTCTCTGTTTTTCAAACCAAACTGTCAATGACTATTGACATTGGAATTTTCATAGATTATTCTGTTTTCATGAAGTTAATGAAAACGAATGTCTAGATTAGAAAAGATATTTTTACCTGCTGGAAATATCCTGAGAGAGAGGCTGGAAATTGATCCTAGTGAAATGCATGGAACTAAGGAAATTGCTGCTGGGAATGCTTCAACTACAGGCAAATTTCAGTTGAAGCTTGCATGCTCTTAGGTATCTCAACAAAATACAAATCAATAGAAAACAGTTGTTTTCTATTTTCAAGTGTTAAAGCATATAGATTTTGTGCTGGACAGGAGAGAGCCACTCAAATTCATGAGTATCATGTGATACAGCTTGTGTTTTCAGTTTGATATCACAAATAAATAAAATTAATTCTTTTCATAAGCCATGGCAGTAGATGCAGATTTAATTCAACCTGATCTGCATGCCTGTGACAGAACTTTATCATGCCATATGCATGGACTGGAGCTGTCCATAATTTTCCTGCTTGTACATTAATGATTCAGATTGAAGGGTCAAGTCTGTGCTGAAATACCTTGGTGAACTGAAACAATAATGCATGGTAATCTTTGTGATAGTGTCAAGATTTTTGTCATGGGATAAACACAGGAACTCTGAGACAGACCACATCACCCTAATTCAGAAATGCAAAATTAAAATTAAAAATACCTGTGGCTGGTTAACTGGCCTTTGAGGTTGGGACTTCATCTGCTCATAACAACATTCTTCTGTAACTTATCAAAGTAGAAAAATGTTAATATATTAAGTTATATTACTGAGTCTTAAAAGGTCAGATCAGCAGATCCTCTCCATTACAGAACTCACTTCCCCCAGTTTTCTTTGGTAGAAGTTTGTTTTGTTTTGAAATCACACACAGATCTCTCCCTCTAGGTATAGACAGACAAATAGCTAAGAAATTCAGACACATACTGTGGAAATGAAAATCATTTTCTGTTC